CTGCCTTGTCTCCCATTTAGGCGGTGGGTAATGTTTCTCTCCTGTCATCAGGATTACATGGAATTCACCAGTTTTATTTCTTTTGCAAAAAAAGGAAGGGCAAGGTTTGCTTGCCATACTTAGAAAGAACATATGGAAATTTGTATCATGGCTGTGAGCACTGGAGACTTCTTATCCAGAGGATTTTACAGGAACCAAAGGTCAAGAGATCCATGGCTCACAGCTCTGGTGCCTGCAGCTTGTGTGTGACAGCAGGACAGAGAAGGGATGAGGGGACACCGGCCACCATTTGCATCTCTGCAAGATGGGAAAAATTATAAACATGTACGTTGATTTTCTCTCCCCACTTCCATCTCCAAGTGCTCCTGCAAGTGACACCAGTACAGCTGCATGGGTGCAGGCAGCCTCTGGAGTCATGCCCCACTTGGCCAGAACCTCCACTGCAGCTCCATCAAGACATGTCAGACAGGTCTTCTACAGCAACAGCTCACAAATGGAACATTTCAGAGCAGTGAAAGCAAAATCCAAAAATCACAGAATATGCTGAGTTGGAAGGGACCTACAAGGACCGTGGAGTCAAACTCCTGGTCTTGCAGCATCACACAATGTTCCTGAAGGTATTGCCCAAATGCTCCTTGAACTCTGTCAGGCTTGATGCTGTGACGACTTCTCTGGGAATCCTGTTCCAATGCCACACACTTCTTTTAGTATCTAACCTAAACCTCCTCTGACAACTTCAGGCCATTCCTTTAGGTCCTGCCACTGGTCACCACAGAGATGACCATCTGCCCCTTTTCCTCTCCTCATGAGGAAGCTGTAGACTGGGATGAGGTCTCCCTTTAGTCTCCTCCAGGCTTCGCCCTCAGACACTCCTCATCTGGCTTCCCCTCAAAGCCCTTCACCATCACTGTCCTCCTTTTGACACTAACAGCTTAATGCCTTCCTTATATTGTGGTGGCCAGGGCTGTTCCCAGCACTCGAGGTGAGGCTGCCCCAGCTCAGAGCAGAGCAGGACAGTCCCTCCCTTGCCCAGCTGATGCCCCCAGACACGCCTGGCCCTCCTGGCTGCCAGGGCACTGCAGACTCATCTTCAACTTTCTGTCAGCAAGGACCCCAGGGCCCTTTCCAGGCGCTGCTTTCCAGCATCTCATTCCCCAGTCAGCCTGTAGAGCCAGGGCTGCCCCATTCCCGGTGCAGACTCTGGCACTGGCCCTTGCTGAACTTCACCAGTTTGGTGATTGCCCAGCCCTATAATTTGGTGAGGTCTTTCTGCAGGCCTCCCTGCCTTTGAGGGAGTCAACAACTCCTCTCAGTTTTTATCATCTGCAAACTTGTTTAGTATCCCTCCAGTCCTGCACCCAAGTAATTTATGAAGATGTGGAAGAGCACAGGGCCAAGGGTGGAGCCCTACAAAACTCCACCAAGGGACTGGTGCCAGTCTCATGCCACCCTCTGCACCTGACCCGTGAGCCAGCTGCTCACCCATCCCATGACATGTTTATCCAGCAGTGAGATGGACAGTTTGTCCAGAAGGATGTTATGAGAGACAGTATTGAAAGCTTTACTGAAATCTCAAAAGATTACATCAAGTGACTCTCCTTGATCAGCTAGGTGGGTTACTTTGTAATAAAAGGAAATCAGGTTTGATAAGCAGGACTTCTCATAAAGCTGTGCTGGCTTAGACTGCTCTCTCTTTTTTCTGAATTTTTTGGAGGTTGGTTTTTTGGTTCGGTTGGTTGGTTTAAAAGTGCACCGTGCACATCCTGCTTCATTCTGCTGCACATCCAAATGCAGGCTTGACTGTATGTAAGAGCAATCCATGCTGCCAGGGAAGGCTATCCTCAAAGCCAGTGTGCAACCTGTTGTTCTCTGGAAACATGTACTGCTAGACAAGCAATATATAAAACCATATTTTGTCTTGTTTTAGATTCTTTGAAGAAGACCATGTTATGCAGGTAGGAAAACTGAGAATATTGCAGTTACACAAAATGCTGGAGATTATATTTGCCAGCAAGGTAACTCAATATACATCTATTCTGGCACTCAATAATTAAAGAGAGGCCCCCAGCAGTGAATTGCAGGATGATCTGTTCACAGCAGCAGCAGCTCCCCACACTAGAGAGGAGCCAAAACCTTCAGTCAGGCACTCACAACCACACGCCTCATCTGCACAGTCCAGCTTCAAAATGTGAGTGGGCAGTGGTTTTAGCAGTACTGATTTTTCCTTTCTCCAAATAGAAATTAATAGAAGAAGGGAGATTAGACGATTAGACCCCCATCCCTGAAGACTAGAGGTTTCTACAGATTAGCCTAGAAGTGACTGAATTTCTGAATTCCAGACCTTATGCTGCCTCTGATCTGTATGAATCCATGGATTCATACAGAATCCATGTCCCACCCCTAAGTGGGTAAAAATCTAGGTAAGGACTTTGGCATTTGATCTTTACAAAGCAGAAGCTAACAACTGACAAATTAAATACTTCGGAGCAGTGAAAATTAAACAGTGCTACAGTCACGAGTGTTGGCATATGGAAAGCTGCCACTAATCTAATAATGGAATTGTCTGCCACAGCACAGAGGGAGCTCCCAGCACCCCAGAGCAGCCACACATCTGGAGACTGGAACACAGCCATTAGCAACCTCTGTTTAAGTAGCACATTCTTGCTACCTTCCTGCCAGCTGCTCATCTCTCACCACAGGCCGAGGGCAGGGCCCACAAGCAGTAATGTGGCACTGGGGACAACCTAGAGCAGCCACATGCACAAAGGAGGTTCCTCAGTAGGACCCTGCCTGTCTGCATACACCTGCTTTACTCCACCAAAAAATGGGCAACTGGCTCATCTGTCACACTCCTGCATTTGCACATTCAGGACACCAACCACTTTCACTGGTTCTTTCAGGTACCTGTGAGGAGTGTAAGGTGCTGGGGGATGAATGTTCCTGGCTCACTCCAGCCTGGCCTCTGCACAATTTTCATGTGTGCAGCAGAGCCACACTGCTCAGGAATGGGAGGAGAATCAGAGCCAGGAAGTGGAAGATGAACCAAACATGCAGATTTCACTCACAACCAGAGACAGAGAACGATTTCCAGACAGGTGGGCATGGAGCTTGCACAAGGTATTTACCCATCAATGAATGGCAGAGAAAACAAAGTGGGGACAGTGGATGCAGCCAGACAGCAAACAGGCCACTCACCAGCAGCTGCCTGCAGAAGGGAGCCCAGGCAGGGATGGGAAGGCCAAAGCATGGACTGTGCTACAGGAGGCAGCAGCAAGAACATGGATGTATGGTGGGGCTGTGGGAGGAGAAGCAGGCTCTCCTGAAGCATCCAGCACTACACACACAGCGCTCCTGGAGATGCCAGATGAGGCTGATCCACAGCACTCCCCTCAAACAGTGTCCTCCCCTCTGCAGCAGAGAGCTGGCAAGAGACAAGGAGCACCAAAGAGCAGAAGGGAGATAAAGCACTAAAGAGGAGAAGGATGTAAAATGCTGGAGGGATGTGCATGAGTGTCTAAACACACACAGGAACAAGCTTGAGTATAAAGAATGGGCAGCTTTAGCACTGAATCACTGCTTCTCTTCCTGAAGTACCTGCCTTGTACTTGAAAAGACTTTCAAGGTACCAAGCTGTATCACTGCTGAGCAAGCTGGATAGCACAGGTGAAACCAAGTGGAAACAGACCAACCACGCCTGTTAAGGATCCACCACTCTATAGAAGAGCAGTTCATGCTGGCTAAAGGTGGCTGTGAGAAGATCCTGCTCCCAAGGAAGCAAAAGGAAAGGAAATTCTAAGAAGTTTCTTGGCAGTCCAGTTCTGTACCCACTGATATCCACTGCAAGGATTATTTGTTGGCTCAGGAGATGTACCATGGGTGTTAACAATGACTACAGCTTGCTTAATTAGGCCACCTTCCCTCTTTGACAATAAAAGAGACCCGAGTGTCTCAGATTCACCAAAGTAGATTTGTGTCCCAGCTGCCCCTTTCAGAACACCTGTGGAAAAAAGGTCTTAGGATCTATCAATATCTTGTTCTCCAAGTTTGTGCATAAAACACCTGGTGCATCCACACAAGCTGCTGTTCAGTCAACCCTGATACTAATTGCTCATAGCAAATGCACTAGAGTGCATGCACACTGTAGCTGTATTCTCCAGAAAAATCTACTCCTCTTTGCCTGCTATTATAGCAAGAAAATAAAAACTCAAAAAGAATCTGCATGGTCTTCTGTTTAATGTTCAGTGCTTCCTGATCAGAGGGATGGTCCTGCACCTATTGGTTTTCCCAGCAAATAGACCTGCTGTCTTCCATGTATGCAAGGCCTCCAGCAGTAGAATTTAGCTGACAATTTATCCCTTCAGAAACTTTGCTTACTGGTACTGCATCATCTGCCTGTAGAATAAGGCTTTTACATCATGTCTGATTGGGAACATGAGCTTCCAAAAGCCCAGAGCTGCATCAGGTGAGCTTGTTGTTGGCCTTTTGATACCATTCCTTTGAGCTGGCCAGAGCAGGAGTTTGACTCCTGCAGCACTGACTACAGGGACACTCCTGGGATGGATATATCTTCGGGACTGGACAGGTTCTTCCACCCGTCAGGAGGAAGGGATGGCCTTTTCCTTGCTCAAGCAAGGATTACTGTGGCCAGGCATAACAGGGAACACCTGTGGAGGCCTTCTCTTTCCTGAGCACAGGCTGACCATGGCCAAAATAGAGGATGGCATCCTGGCCTTCTCTACCTGTGGCTCGTGCATTTCATCTCTCTTTGGCAGCGCTCTTCTGCTGCCACCTTGGTCTCTCCTGCCCCTGCTGTATCTCCAGAAGTTCCCAACACAGCAAATTGTGAAGGGCAGGAGACAGGAGGAGGGAGCACTGGGAGGCTCCTGCACTCTTCTCCCTTCATCCATTTCTGGGCAGGTGACCATGCACAGCAATGGTGTGAATCCCACTCAGGGCAGCAGCTCATGTATTAAAATAGCAGCAACACTGAGAGTACTCACAAGTCTCAGAAAAGAAAGCTGATGTGGAACTGGCTTGTTCATCTTTTCCATGACAGGAAACACTTCAATCTCTGCTGTCAGCACAAGCATTGTCTGCTCCCACCACGCTCTCGCCACACTCCATCCTGGGACCACACAAATAAAGAATGCCAGAGTGTTACTTTTGCCTTCTACAGGCTCAAAATGCAACAAAACTCAACCCTCTGTTGTGCTTTGCAGGCTCCAAAGCAATCAGCTGCTCGGTTTATCGTGTCACAGCCCATGGATGTTTCAGCCTTCTACGTAAAGCAAGCTGGTCACCCAGAGCCAGCTGCTGCAAGTGCCACAGGACAAGTGGCCTGTCCAGGGCCAGGAGCCCTTGGGCCACTGGTGGCCACCAGCTGGCAGCCAGCCTGCCTCAGCCAGACAAAAATCCTCCATTTTCAATACAAATACATAACAACTGAGTAAAGGGGCAAGGAGTAAGAAGGGAAACCAGCTCTCACAAGAACATATACAGCACTATCTTCAGCTCCCATTTTTCAATTACTTTTCTGCTTTATGGCCCTTAACACAAGAGGAAAAATGAAGGTGAGCTGCAGAAAGCAATCAGTCTCTCAGTTTCTCATGCACTCACACCAAAGTAGAGCTTGGATCAGGGACACCCTCAGCAAGTGCTGGAAAACACATCCAAAGCTTTGTGAAGAATTGCTTTTATGGAACACAGGTTGTTTTGGAAATCACAAGCAAAAGACACTGAAGTGTAACAAGTTTTTGAAAGGTCAGCAGAACATTCCTATGGCATTTAATACACAATAAAACCTTATGACTTCAAAATGTGAATCAGGAATACCATAAAGAAGCCTCATCAGAAATCAAAAGTGAATCCTAGGGACTTTGATCTAAGCTGGAATTTGGCTGCTTCAAATCCTGCTGCAGAAAGCTTCGTAACCCTGAAATCAACAGAAGGGACACAGCAATAAAGTACATGCAAGAATAAGACCTATTGGGTCTTATTGGCCCTAAATCTGATTTAGCAAAACCAGGATAAGATAGGATGCTAGCCTTGGCTTCAGTAGCTCTGAGCTGTCCCTCAGATAGCATCTGTAGTAGAGGAGCTGTACTCTAAAATTAGACAATAAATTAGCTATATTTTCTAAGGATCAAATTCTTTGTATACTTCTCACTGAAAGCTGACTCAAGCAGCCTTCTCTTTAGTGACTGCACAGTTAGATTTTGGGGCATCATGTACTTGCACTGGGCCAAATTGCTACAATTTGCCTCTTTACTTCAAGAGAAGTTTTTCTGGGGAAATAGCAGTTGCAGTAATGAGCTATGCCTGGGGCCCCAACAGCACAAACTGTAGCTCACTCTAACACACCAGCCATTCCAGATTTCACTCTAACCTACCTTATACACAGGTGCAGGTTTCATCAGCTAAAATTTCGCTTTGTGCAGAAGGTGATTGACACACATGCAGCACCAGCCTGCACAATGGCTCAGCAGCCCCTGGGATCTGGCTTTCAAGGCTGGGAGAGGGCTGCAGTCCTGGGGTGTCACAGGTATCAGATATTTGTGTGCATGAATGGGGTACATAGTTGCTCCAAATCTGGTATTTGTATGTGCAGCTTGGAAATATAAAATCAAAAGTTTTTGTTAAAAAATTTGCCATCAAAACAGGAAAGCAAAAGAATATATGGGCAGAAATCTAATTTCAAATGACAACCAATGCATGTTTGTTTTATGGATATCAGTTATCAACACAGGCCTTGAAAGACACTCAGAATAAAGCAGGGATGGCCCATGGCTTTCCTTTTCACCCAAAGACAGCCTAAAGCAGCAGCTTTGGTCATTTGCTTTCCAGAGTTTCTCAGGTTATGATGTAAGGAGACAAAGGCATCTATGACTGATCACTGCCTCTCTGCCCCTCTGTACTTCATCCCCCTCTCCACCAAGTGCTTATTTTTACCTTTTCTCATGACTGACTGACTGACTACCTGCTATGCCGGTCCTGGTGTTCCTTCCGGATGGCAAACATCCATCTCCTGTCTGCACTCACTTGCAGGAAGCAGCAAGCCTGCTGCCTCACTCCCCACAGCACTGAAACAAGTGACATGAGACTAAGCTTCACTATAACCACCAATGTACCTAATCCACTGAAAACTGTGGGGCCAAGTTTGCGTGACAGGCTGCTTGCAGAAGTCTCAGACTTGGGGTACAACAGAACACCAGTTTTAGGTGTATGTTATGTGGTAGATGGAGGCCACTCATTCTGCTGTTAGAGGCACATGAACACAGAAAAACAGTGTTAGACTCAGCATTAGCAGCTGACCAATGCCATGTCAGGAGAGACTTATCCTGTAGCACCAGATACTAAAGTCTTTACTGAGCATGCCACCTCTGTCTCTGGATCATAGGATCAGGAGACACAGACACACTGTAGAGATGATAAATAAAGCCCAGCCAAAAAAAGGAGTTACAAAGACATCCTTATTTCCAGCATGAGACCTAGACCAGGACGGAGGCTCTCTTCTATGTGCCCCACAGTCCTCACTACCCTCTTCCTTTGAGGGCTTCTCACTTCAGTAACCCAGCACCCTCCGGAGTGAGAGTCATGAGCTGTCTCATCAGGCCATAGCAAAGGCCAGCAGAGAGCACCAAGCCTAAACCTACAAGCCTGAAGTTATTTGAAGGCAAAAGCATACATAGAAAAACCTCCCATTTAAAACATGGGTTACAAAAGCCAAGCAGTTGTGCACTGTACTGCAATCAAATGCCATCCTTATTCCATCACAGCTTGAAATAGATTGGGTAACAGGCAAACAAGTGTAGAAATCCCGAGCTGCTGGCAGTGACCACGCCGCAGGCAGCGGCACCGTGCTGGCTCGCTCGCTTCCAGCTGGCCAGGGAAAGCCTCCACGATGCTCCAGGAGCACGCAGACTGTCAGGACACCCAGAAGAACCTTGCTGCTGAGCTACACATTGCAAAGGCTCCACAGGCCCCAGCAGTGCAGGCTCAGTGTGCTCAGACCTCCAGAGCACCCTCAGCTAACAGGACATGGGCAAAAATGCCCTTATTTCGTTTACCCAGTCCATAGAACAAAAGCTAGGCGCATGATTCATGGTCTCCCCAGATCTTCTGAACCCCCTCTGTCAAGCCTAGGTAGTTCTCCTGTTTTAGCTGCTGCCTGCACAGGCTTTGTTAGTGCTGGAGGCTGAGGCTTTGTACCAAGCCCCAGGAGTTCAGTACATTCTGTTCACAGTGCCAAAGGCACTGAATAACCACTTACATTTGCATTTGCCTAAACATAGCCTAAACATATTGCAAACAAATAGCAGGAATAAGTTTAGCACTTGAGGCACAATTAAAAGCTAAAAACACCCATCAATAATTTGGTCCTTTTCCAAAAAGACCAGAAAAAGCTAATAAGAATAATTGAAATGGTATTTTTGTACTGCAGCAAAAAACAAAGAATAAAAAGCCCGAGATGTTTGCCAAGAACTTTAAAACCTATTTTTAACCAGTCAGTACATTTTATGAGCTTATCTGTAGATAAGATAAGCTGCTAAATACCATTTCTGAGGTTTAGACTTTTTGCTACAGGCATGTGCAAATCTCTGTTGCTGCCTGAGCCTGGCTGCTTTCCTCCGTAGCCGCAGCAGGATCACAGAGGTAGCCAGCCTCACAGCAGAGCTGCTGCATTATGAATCAGATCATGCTCACCGAGGAAAGGAGGCTGGAGTGTGGAGGGTGGGCTTGAGAGAGCCAAGAGACTCGGGGTGCTATTCTTGGCAGCAGCAGCGATTCACCGCGTGACCTTGTGAGAGTGACTTAATCACTGCACGGCTCCGCTTCCAGCTCTCCGTGTCAGACCGCGGCGCTGCGAACGCCCGCAGGCTCTCGCTTTCGGGAAGGGAGAAACACAACGAGACTCTATGAAAAAGAAAGGAAACGATACAGTGCATGAGGATGCAGTTACACTGCTGATTTCAAAGGCAGCTTGGACTGTGTTTGGAACAAAGACTCTAACCCATGTAATAAAAGAGAGATAATGTTAAAAAAAGAGTAGCATCTCCTTAGTTATTTTATCCCTCTGGGCATTGAACGAGGCAGATACTACTGTAATCGAACGCCTGTGAGGTGTCTGGATGCTGCTACACCTGATGAGATTCATCCTCCCAACATCCCTGCATGAGCGGAGGAGGAGGCTGAGCCCTGTTTGGTCTGGAGCTGGTGTACAGCAGAACACTCCCACAGTTAAAGACAGCCCCTGTCGCAGTATGTGCGATGTGCACAGCGATGTTTCACTGCAGCTCCGCCCGGTAACAGCACAGGACACAGCCCACCCGTGCAGGAGAGATCCCCGCTCACCGCTCCGTGCGCTCGCCCCGCAGCTCGGCGCTGCCACGGTCCCGGCCACGGCCCTCCCGGTGCGCGGGGCCCCGCGGGACGGCAGCTGGGCTGCCCGCCAGTCACCAGAGTTTCACGGGAGCCATCTCGGCCGTGCCGGACGGCAGCCGCTCACGGGCACGCCCGGTGCCGCCCGCAGGCCCCTCTGCCCCGGGCACGCCGCGGCCGGGCAGGCCCGGCGCCGCTGGAGCCCGGCGGGTCTGGGCCGTGCTCAGGGGAGCTGCGGCCAGGCCTCCCCTGGCTCTGCTGCCAGAGCACGGGGCCTGCTGCACCGCCAGCCCCGCTCCCTCGCCGCCAGCAGCAGGCACCCCGCGTTCTCAGCTCTGTCCAGCTGCCCCAGGGTGCTTCGGCTGCTGTCCGCAGCCAAGAGTGACTTCAGGGAGCCATCAGCTCTGCTGCTGCACCACAGCAGGATTTCAGTGCTCTGTAACAGAAGGCCCCACAGCTATACTTCAGAATCAGAACACACCACAGATCACACCTGGAAACCGCCTATTTAATCCTAGAGATTTTTTCCAACCTAAACAATTCTATGAGTCTGTAAGACTGCTCTGCCTGGAACACCGGCCTCAGCCTCCACTGCAGTAAGTGGGAGTTTCCACGAAGGAGAAACCAGTCACCACCTGCTGCGTTCTGGGGTCGGGGCTGCTTGTTTTGTATCTACATTCACAAGGCCATTGTCATCAGTTATGCATGTGTGTGTCAAAGCTGTTTTTCAAAATACTGCCAGCCTCAGCAGCTGAGAACATGACTGCCGTCCGATTGCCACATCCAGTTTCAAAGCCCAGGCAGATCCTAGATTGCATCCTGCAGCCTGGATTCACAGCTCCACCTCAACATGCCACTGCATGCTTTATTGGAATGAGCTCCCTCCTCTTCCTGTGCATCACATAATCTCACACTTGCTGTTTTCACTCCTTTATTCTAGGTTAGCTGTACCTTTGCTGAGCAGAAATACTGCAATTCCAAGGAAAGCAACAGCCACAAGTCACTTCAAACAGTGACATTAGCCATGACTGCTAACACATGGCATAGCAAGGCTGCTGAGCAGGGACTGTCACAACCATTTTACAGATAGGAGAATGAACCACTTCAGAAGGCAAGGATGCAAACTGACACTGTCCAAGTGACCAGATTAACTGCTTTTGAATGCCAATAATCACTTGCGTTTGCTCTCCATTTACCACGGAGCACATGTCAGTGACTCACTCTCCCCTCTGCCAGTGAACAGCCACACCTCTTCTCATCTCACCCCTTCATCAGTCACACGTTGTCCCTGTTATTGGACAAATCTGACAAATCAGTTACCTGATTAACTCAATTTGAATAAACTCTGTACCTCCCCCAGACTGAGGTGGTGCACAAAGGGAACTCCTATTTGAAGCCCTGCTCTGACATAGACTATTCACTGAATCCATCTTTGTTTTCTTTTTGATATTTTTAAGTGTTACTTCATTGTAGTCTACATTTTTCTTAATAAATTTATCTTCAACATAGGAAGAGGTGCTTCTACTAAGGTGTTTCTACTGTTGTGCTGAAGCCATGGAGAATTCAGGCAAAGATATCCTTTGAAGTGTATTCCAAACACTGAGCCCCATCTTGTCCTTCAGAAGCACCTGACAAGTGACATTAGTCAGTGCTGCTCTATGCTCCACCACCGTCCATTTGCAAGAGCTGGAAATGCTCCATGGGCAATATGGGATGCAACAGGGCAGCAGTCACTAGGGCAGCAGACACTTGTGTCTGCCTAGCTGGGTGGGGATACAGTTGTACACATGGTTTTTTCAACAACAGATAAGTCCATGCCTACAAATACACAACTAGCTTTTCAGGTGGCAGCTTTTAGGGAGCTGGCAATGAAGCACAGCCTGTTTCTGTGGCCAACACCTGCTTGTTGATGACAGAAAGGCACAACCAGATGATGCAGCTGCTGCAGGACAAGTCTGATCAGCACAGCCTTGCACTCAGTCAGTGAACAAACCACCCATGCACAGACATCTCCTGTTGCCCACATGCCTGCTTTGTTTCTCCAGTGCTCCATCCCACAGGGCTGATCTCTGGGGAGATCCCACAGCCTCTGGAAGCACAAGTAATCACCACAGATCTCTGCTGTTGGTCCTGCTGATGTCGGGCTGATCAGGGCAAACACCTGACTGAAAGGTGCTTTACTTTGCCCTAGCAGACTGGTAAACTGGGGTTGAAACTACTCAAAGGTAGAAAATAGATAGACAAAGCCAACTAAAACAAGTTATGTTTTCTTATGTAAAACATCAGTTGTTCCCACTCACAGGGCTGACAGCTGCTGGCCTGTCTCAATAAGCAGGGACTATTGCTGAGGCTCTCCAGAACTAGCCTGGCAAACTGGAGGTTTGGGGTTGTGCAAACTGACTCACACTTGGAAGGAGCAGAAATCTGTTCTGCCTTTTTGACAGTGAAGCAAAGCTTCACAAGGAAAGATGTTATGGGCCACACTCCACACGTAACACTGGCAAGTGGAACATGGGCCAGCCTGGGAGGAACATTGCCCAGCAGAGACCCAGGCTCCTCTCCCTGCTTCCAATGCCCTCTCTCTGGCAGCCTGGCCCCATGGCAGGGCAGGATGGGTTTTGTGGCAGGGCAGGAGGGCTCCTCTTCCAGGTGGAATGGCAGCACTGAGACTTTCTCCATACTGAAAGGTGAAACAGCTCTGCATCAGTAGAGCATTTCTATACACTTCTGTTACAGAAGTGAACACTACAGAGTCTTCTGTGCTGTCCAAAGACACAAGTTGTTGCCGAGATGCAGATTCAAATTAACTCAAAGTAAAAATAAATAAGTATCAGTCACTGCTTTAGAATTCAAATTCATGTGAAGAAGCCAAACTCTAAATGCAAAATTAGATCAACCCAGATCTTATACATAAACAGACCAAGTTTGCTCAGTCTTGGATTCGTGCCACTTTCAGTGTTTTTCTAGTCTTGCCATGCTCATCCTAAGCCAGAGACCCAGGGAAGCGATGTTTCTGATGAGCTACAATCACACACACACACCATGGTGTTCCCCTTGTATTTCTGCTCTCTCTCCCCACAGGTACAAGGGTGTTGCAGATGCAGTGTTTGGAATAGCCCTACCTGCTTCAGGGCTTCACCTCACTGCTGTCTCCATGGTTTATAGCACTGCCAGGCTACAACTATTCCACCTGTATTTGTCGTGCCAAGAGTCTCTCTCAAATGGAAGTATTTGGACTTGTGTAAAACAAATCAGGTAGTTTTAAGAACAGGGAATAAGATAGTGCTTTAATTAGACAAACATTAACAACTGCAGCTTCAGCAGAAGGTTTGGCAGATGAGGAATCAGCAAGCCAAAGAGGAACAAAACCCAGAGAGAAGTATTGGGGAACGATTGTACTGCACACCCAATGCAGATTCTGCCCTGAGGAATTGTGTCAGAACAAGGTTAAATATTTCACTGGGACTAATACTTTGCATTTAATATTTTTTTATAAATCAATTTGCATAATGTATGCTGGCATCCTTTATGTTTCAATTTTGCTTACAGTAATAAAACTAACTGTGCAAATCTTCCTTGGCTGTATGTTATTTTTACATCCAAGAGCACCGAGCAATAGAAGCTTGGCAGGACAGATCTAAGAGAGAAAAAAAGCATTGTACTTCCCAACATAGCAGAACAACCCTGATTTTAAAGCAGTAGGATGAAAATGATTCAGCCTACAGTTAAAATTAGAGGTATGGTGAGATTTAGACTGCAAGTGAAGTACTGAATTAAATGTGTTTTTACTTGACTCCAACAAGCTTTTTTTATTAGTCCCTGGTAAATGAAATACTAGAAACTTTATAAGTCTGTGAAACAGTCAAATCCACATGGTGTTTCACGGAGCAAATGCCCCCTGCCATCGTCAGCACTGCAGGAAAGCCAGTGGTGCCAGAGCACGGGAGCCACACGGGGCAGATGCCATGGCTCTGGCTCCCTGTGACTCTCGGGGCACTCATCCCCTGCCTCCAGTGCTGCACGGGAGAACAGGGCAAGCCAGAGTCCAAAGAGAATGGCAGCAGTAGCCGTGTGCTCAGGTGGAACACTGACACCTTGCACAGCCATGAGGCACCTGGCTCAGAGACACCCTGACACCCTTTTCTGTATGTTCTGCTGCTTTGTTGTGCTCAAGAGACACACACACAGTACTTCTGGGGCCTCTTATAATGAATAATTACTGAAACTCACCCCAAATATATGTATATGTACATGTATATGGATGTGTACATGTATATGTATATGTAAATTTTTTTAATAGACATAAAGAAATATAAACCCCACGAGCATTTTGAATGCTAAATGAAAAAAATCATTAACTGGAAGAGTTCACTAATCCAAATAACCAAATCAAGATATTCCCATTCCCCTCCTCCCATACACTATTTACAGCCATCAGGAATGTGTCACTGCTCAGCATTCCGACCCACTGCCTCCGCAGGCTTTTCCTTTCTCCAGCAGGAAATCCTCCAGCTGGCCCTACTTTGTTCTCTAGAGCATTTTAAATTCAGCTTATTTGCATCAATTGAATGTAGGTGCATGCAGGCATGTGGTACCTGCATGTGGGTGTTCTTCCTGGTTAGATTTCCTTACTTTCAATTTCGTTACGAGCAAATTAAAAGGGAAAAAAAAGAGTAATTCCTTCAGTGATTTTTCTGCCTTTCTGCAATATACACAAACACAAAATTCTTAAAGAAATATAGAAAACAACAGCCACTGCAGGACTCTGCACTTCCAAATTGGATTGACCAAGTCCTGCCTAAGTTTATGGTGAAGGGTTTGCTCAAATCAGTGTTGCAGATTTCCCCTTAACAGGAAAACTTTTGATTTTCTAAGCCTTTATGCTTAGAAGCAATATTATTTGCAAGTTGGTGTCATACCACACCATGGGCCAAATGTTACACTGCACATGGATTCCCTGGAAACTTAAGGAAATGTATATTGTGTCTCTCTCAAGCTTCCTTGGGGAAGCACCATGCCCACGATGGGCACCGGGCTTTTGGGGTAAGGCTCTTGATTCCAAAGGCAGAGGGACAGAAAGGAGGCAGATTAGGGGTGAGCAGGAAAACTCAACCCTCAGTCTGGCTGTGGGTAGAGCTCAAGGGGGTGAATCACTTTTCTTTCAGAAGCAGTACCTGGGGCTAAAAGTAGTAAAATAGGGAGTATGGTAGGACACTTGCTAGGCAGAGTATCCTTGGTTTGGTTTGGTTTGGTTTGGTTTGGTTTGGTTTGGTTTGGTTTGGTTTGGTTTGGTTTGGTTTGGTTTGTTTGTTTGTTGTGGGGTTTTTGATGCTCGACAGCTATTACCACTAAATAGCAGAACCTGTGAAAATACAGAGAATATAATTGCTTTGCTCTAAGAACATGAGCCGCATTTTCACCAAACAAGAATGGACATGTTGGTTGTTTTAATTTCTGGTCTAGTTGGGCATATCTTATCTCTGGCTAAAAAAAATGGAAATGCATAATGAAGGCAGCCAGTTGTCTTGTAGGTGACCAAACACAATTCCCACCATAGGATAGGATTGTTGGCAAGATGTGGTATCAGTACAGGGAAACTTAGTACTGCCAGCTGAATAGATCTGTCAAATTTGTTTCTGCAAAATGTTATGTCTACAACTACTAGAAATAGCACAACTGAGTGATAAAACTTAAACAAGTGTGAAAAAATATTTGCTTTATTTTCAAGTCTGTTTTCCTTGTGAACCTGACAGCATTTTGTTTTCTCAAAGTTATGTTTCATGTGCCCAAGGACTGGACTTTTCCACCCCCTACACCTGTATTCTCATAAACAGCAGCAGTGGTTAAACAGATTCTGCAGCAGTTTGTACAGACTGAGAAGGCAGACTTGTTGGACCCCTTCATCTAAAAAGAAATAGGAATAAAATAACTGTATATAAGAATATTGCCCCTAAAACGGTGAAGTGCTCTTTAATGTCTGCTTGATGAGGCCTGGCCCTACAAAGACTGAAAGAATTTTCACATTGCCAGAACCCTCCTTCCATGAATAGGCACAGATTTCATGTACAACTTTAGGATAAGGTCTTAGAGGACACTATTTTTAACTATTTGAAGAACAAACATGTCTAAAACACCTTAACCTTCCAGCTGAAGCTACACATATTTTAAAGCCATTCTAATATATGCATAATCAATGTGTACATTACTCAGCAAATGGTAAACAGCGAGTGTTGCAATAACTCTCCTGTCACTAATTTTAATACTGTACCAAAATATGCTACTGTAAATTAACTAGTACATTATGGAGTGCCATAAATAATTAAAACTAAAATTATAACTGGCAAAATGAATGAAGCAAGAACATTTTGTAACCCAGTGTTCTTCCTACTCAACTTCATAATTTTCTAATTTGTGTTAAACACTAAATCTGATTCTGTCTGAGCATAAAAAGGAATTTGTTCATATAATTTACTAATTTGGAAAGTAGCTTGGTTGGAAAGAAATTGAAACCTGTTAAAACCTCCACATTCTATGACAGAGCATCTGTCTAGATGCCACACAGCACAAACTGCTCTTTGGTCATCATTCCTGGGTCCCGAGGTGAAGCCAAAGGAGGCACAGCACAGCAAGTGAGAACCACCCAGGACAGAACTCTGCTGCCAGAGCTGGGACATCCAGCCCCAAGCAAGAACCCATCCTACCTGGTCTCAGAGGATGCAGGAAGGACATGGGCTTCTGCAGCCATCCCATCTGACACGAGTGAGTGGGCAGGACCTCTCAGTGTTCCATGAGCCACAGCAACAGCTGCTGTACAGCACCATGGGCAAGGATGACTGCTGAGTGCAGGGCAGAGGCAGGAGAAACGGGCTCAGCTTTGGAACATCAAGTGAGACCACTTCAGCTTTGGACATCTAGAGGTGAGAACAGACAGGTGAACAACACAGGAGTGACATCACTGTATATTTTACAAGGATTTTTAAAGCACACCAAAGGTGCTTTTATACAAGTTGGTAAAACTTGCTGCTCCATTACTTCAATCAATAGGAAGTGTCAAATTGTTTTTGCAGAAGTCTTCTATTGTTCTGCATTGTTTTGCTTTTTAATTGTCATTCTTTGGTTTCACTGAAAGAACAGCTTTCTTTTTTAAGACAGACATAAAGGAGGCTGACAGACAATGTCTGCTGCTTCACTGCCTTCAGGTGGATTCCATATTCTGCTCCTTCACACCTCTCACCTTCCTGCCCTGTCTTCTCTAAAGTACCATGGAACCTTCTACCTACCCACCCATATTTTTTTTATTTTTCATTTGTTGGTGTTTATTTACTGGACAAAAAACTGCATCAATTAATCTGTTTATACTGCCTGAGCTCACCCTGACTTTCATTGGAATAGAGCACCATCCCTACCAACACACCAGGGCCAGACCTTGCGTGGCATCCTGACCATGCAGCCCATACCCCTCCAGAGCAGTGGCAAGAATGCTGAGGGGTGGTGGCCTCAGGATGAACTCTCAGGGAGAAATCCCTATGGAGTTTGAGCTTTGACCTTGTTTCTGTAGCCTCCAAGAAGGGGGTTCCTGCATCTCTGGAGCCCACCATGGCACAGAAGGATCCTTAGTGGCAGTGGGCAACCCTGGGCTGCTGGCTGGCTGGTGGGCTGCACCCATTGCCCCACCTGAGGGAAAGGGGAGAGGCAGAAGGGAAAAGCTTCATCTCTCTGCATAAGCCTGACTTGTGCAGTCAGACTGCAGCAGATGGAAATCTTTGGAGAGAACAATCTTCCTGCTCCACAGGGTAAGGCAGTTCCCCTGGCACGGCAGAGGCGGGCACAGCACTGAGAACATCCCAGGGGAAAAGCTTATTTAGAACTGCCCTCTGACAGTGGTAAAAAGGATCCTCCACCCATCTGTCCTGCCCACCCTGGCTATGGCACCCTCCCCGGGAGGTCGAGCAGGGGACGCACAGCCTGTTCCTGGTACAGACAGCCCACAGGCCACCCCACAGAGTCTCCGGACCATGTGAGGAGCTTCGTCAGGCACCGGGAGATGCTGGGGGGAATGGGATGCTCCTGCAGGGATGCACATCCCCAGGAGATCTTGAGTTCTGGGCAAAGCTGTGTAGGTGAGATTGTAATAGCATTCTGCCATGGACAAGGACACCAGGGGGTTGTGCTGGTATAAGCAAGGACAGTTTCTAGTTCTCAGTTTTTTATAATAATGATGGATTAATCCTGTTCTTGCTAATCTGCCAGGACAGAACAGCTGACATAAGACTCCTCCAAGCTGCAACGGGTGTCCTCAGCTGCAGGAGCCAGCAGCTGTTAAGCACACAGTTAACTCCCACAGACCAACTATTTCCTTCTTTTTTTTAATAACCATTTCTTTAGGCAAGTGTCTCCTGGTATTTTAAAAATTCATTTTAATCAATTTAAAATTAATAACAAACCAGCAAAATCCTTAGGGCCTGAAAGCTCCAACCTCAGCCACTCTGGAAGTGATGAGTCAGCTCCAGTGCAGCGGCCATGGAGCAGCTGAGGGCTGCCCATGAGAGCTGAATTAGGTCACTTGGTTTGCTATTCATGGAACCGTGGCTGTCCCTGTCGTTCTGAGGAGCTGCTGCACTCCAAAGGCACTGCCACAGCACTGGGCAGCTGCTGCTGCTGCCATGGCTCTGCCCTGTGTACTCACCACGCGCGAGCACCAGGACGGAGCCTCTCCAAGAGGAGGGAAAGGACAGTGGCCGCAGGACTCAGCACACACAGAGCCCTGCCCCACTGCCTGGGCTCTGCATGGTGCCTCCTCACGTTCCTGCCCTGGTCACCAACCCATGCTCTGCTCAGGCTAGGAACAAGCAGTGCAGAGCCAGACTGCTGGCTCCAGCCTCTTCCCAAAAGAGCTCCCCCCAGGCCCAGCAGCAGTCTCTTCCCAAGGGAGCACATCCCTGGGTACTGGAGCAGACTGCTGTGCTCCCCCACTCATCACCTGTGTCTAACAGCAACACCATGGCCCAACACGCAGCTCCTGTGGCAGCTCCCTGCAAAACGCTGGGTTGGAAGTTACCCACAGTACAGGATTTCCCTGCTCCTGGCAGGTGTTCTCATGCCAGTCATTCTGGAACTAGCTCAAACACAGGTGTTTGTGACCTGGGGAAACAAAGAAAACAGCCATCAGAGGCTGCAGGACCAGACTCACTTGAGTCCAATTCCTGCTCTGGCAAATGTCCTCTCCCTCACAACAGCCTTCAGAAGGGTCTGGTCACTTCAGGGACTTTCGGAGCTCCAGCATTCCTGTTTGCCAGCTGCCTGAACTCCCAAGTGCCCATGTTTCTGCAATACAGTCTTCAGAGATCCATAAAAAGATCTTCTGAACACCCTGGGAAGCACATCTGTCCTGTTGCTGCAGGGCAGTCCAGTGCCCACGTCCTGCTTAAGCCTCTCGTATTCCAGGAGTGGTTTTGTCCCTGCCAGAGGGGAACAACATGACAAAATGACCGTCTGCTCACCTACTAATATTCAGCTGTGATAGGGATGAAAGATTTTGGCTCATATCCTCATTTTTTCACTGAAGAGAAATCAAAATGAACCAAAATGGTTGAACAGTTTGTAAATTAGTAAGTATTGAAGCTCCACTTCTCTGGAAGGCTACAGAGTGACAGATGTAGTGCAATGGCAAATGACAGACTAGCTCTTTAAAGTTTAAGTGTGAGATTTCAAAAGACCTTCCTCTAATGTCCCAGACCAAGCATAACAGGCGTCCTTGAGGCAAATAACAGATTTATTAAAAAAAAAACAAGCAAAGCTTTCTTTAGGAGAACACAATGACAATTTCTGTGCAATCTCTGCAGGACATACCAGGCACCCCACAAATGCTCCCTGCCCTCCTGAGGCCTTCTGGGCACCCCACCTGTCCCTATCCTCCTGCTGGTTGGCACAAAGCCTCTGAAGAAGACTGAAATTCAAAGTCAGATTTTGTAGTGAAGCAACAAAACAATACTTCGGTGCTTTAATGACAAAATCTGTTATGAGTGTCACCATTGCGGTTCCCAAATTCAGTTTCTTTTATGACTACTTCAGTGCTTGGACAAAAGTTTTGAATAAACCAGTCTCTTGCTGATAAGATCACGGGCACCCAAGAACAAAACTAAATCTACTTCCAGTTACTCCTGTGGAAGGAAAAGATGGTCTGAATTTCTGCTATGTGTGTGTGGCCTGTGAGACATGGTGCTTGCTAAATGAAAAGTATGAACACTACATTTTCAAAGCTCATTTTTGTTTGTTTCTATTTGTTCAATATTTTCAAGGGTAACACATGGAGGAAAAATGAAGTGACTTAAAAAAGATGATTCTGAAATGTTAGCTTTGGTAGCACAAAGTGAAAATACAAATGTATTCTTGCATGAGCACAGCAGACAGAAGGGGTGGTCATCCCCACCACATCCTGAAATATAACCAGGTACTTTGCTCAGAAAAGGCATTACCTTTATTCAGCACAGCCCAGGCATTACCTTAATTCTGCAGCACAGTTCCAGTGTACTTACAGCAACTTCCACTGGGAACCTGAGAGTACATTAAAGGCTGCTAATGATTATAATGCATGCATTAGAACAAGCAGATTCTGTGGCAATGTTTTAATTTTCATTTAGATTAAATTTGAATTATGATTTACACCACTCTGCTAAAAACACGGAAAGAGGTGCTGTAAGTGCAGCAGCAGGCACACATATCTTCATGCATTCTTCTTTATTTTTATCTTGTCGTTGAACTTAAAAGACTTCCAAGTGCAAGTAGATTGAAGCTCCATCTAGTGCCAGGGGCCGGGAAGTTGCTGGGAGATTTTCATTCCAAAGCCAGCAACCATTGTCAGAGAGCGCCCGAGGAGCCAGCCTGGCATCCCAGCGCTGTCACACGCCGGCAGGAACACTGCGGGATCGCTCTTGGGACGTACAAAGGCTTCGTCTAAAAGCTGCAGTACCTTGGGCCAAGCAGAGGGCATGGCACAGCACCTGAAACATGAGCCCACCATGCTGAGAGGGGTCCCTGCTCCATCACCAACATGTTCTACATGGCTCCTCTCTTTGGATCCAGGGAACCAGGACCCTGCTAACCTCTATCCAAAATCAGGCCATCAATGGTTCTGAAATGCCCTTGCTGTTTGATACATGGCTTGAGCCCTTGTTGGCAAGGCACCATCTCCTCCACAAACACTTACTAATGGTAGCAGATAAAATGGGTGTCTATTACCAACACACAGAATAGCCTAGCTGGTGCTAATGTTCCCTTCCTCTCTTCTTCTGTGTTTTTTCCCAATGGCAAGTGCTAGAACTGCACCTGTTTCTAGCTCTGTAACAAAGCCATGCTGCATGTCCCAGCTCCTATAAGCACACACTATTCTTACCCAAAACAAGGAGGAGGTTTGTGTAGCAGAGAACAGCTGTTCAGATGGTTCAGTCAAAGCAGTAACGTTGGAAGTTTTTTTACATGTGGAAGTCATGTTTCTTCATTTAAGAAAAGTGGTCTTCGTTGTGCATTTTAGATTTGACTTTCAAAGAAGTATGTAATGGAAGGAATCCTTTCACTGTCCTAGTTAAATGCAACCCACCTGAGTCATAAAGCTTTAAAAAGCACTATGCCAACTGGACACAGAGTACAGACAAACTGTATTAGATGCATCTGTCCCACATTTGTCTTCACATAACCTGAGCCCAGACTGGGAACAGCCCCATGCGAAGCAGGCGGGACCAAACCGCACGGGCGAGCGGCTGAAGGCGCGCCAGCAGCGACCGAGGATGCACTGCCAGCACCACTGATGCATGAGGATGGCAGCAGTACAGACAGGTGAGGATGGAGAGTTACACAGCAGATGA